GATTCTCCCATACTTCTCCGGGAGTATAGGATACCGGGCCCTTTGATACGTTCTGTAAGGTCCTTGTCTGACCGGTGTCGGAGTCTGGTCCGCATTGTCGGCAGTAAATCAGGCTCGTTTCCGGTGACAGTTGGACTCCGCCAAGGCTGCCCTTTGTCACCGATTCTGTTCATTACTTTCATGGACAGAATTTCTAGGCGCAGCCGAGGTGTTGAGGGGATCCGTTTTGGTGGCCTTAGGATCGCATCTCTGCTTTTTGCGGATGATGTGGTCCTATTGGGCTTCATCAGATCATGACCCTCAGCTCTTGCTGGAGCGGTTCGCGGCCGAGTGTGAAACAGCTGGGAGGAGACTTAGTGCCTCCAAATCCGAGGTCATAGTCTTGAGCCGGAAAAGGGTAGAGTGCCTTCTCCAGGTCAGGGGGTTGTCCTGCCTCAAGTGGAGGAGTTTAAGTATCTGGGGATCTTGTTCACGAATGGGGGAAGAGGGGAGCGGGAGATCGAAGAAGATGGATGGATGGACAGACAAAGAACTAACCAAGCCACCAAAGTCCCAACTAGAAGAAATTGCTTGCAAAGATAGCGCAAGTAAAGGTGCAATTTCAGAATTCTACAACTTTATGGTTTTGAATTCCCCAGAGGACTCAACATTGAAACTGGAAGCTTGGAAATCAGACCTGGGAGTAAACTTGTCACAGGAGGATTGGCAGTCTGTCTGTACAAGGGCTCAGAAGCAAACAGTTACCTCTCACTTAAGTTTACTGCAGTACAAATGGTTAATGCGAATCTATATTACACCAGTCAATTTAAATCGGTAAAATTCTAATATACCAGACATATGCACAAAATGTTTAGAAGAAAAAGGGACATTGTTTCATTGTATCTGGGAATGTAAGGAAATTAAAAAAAATTTGGAAAGCAATAAAAGAAACTGTAGAACATCTTGTCTCAAAAGACATTGTACTAGATCCGGTTTTTCTAATTTTGGGTCTGTATCCAAAAACTTCTTTGTTTACCAAATGTGAACAACTGTTGATTGATATGTGTCTGCTAGAAGCCAAAAGACTGATAGCACTATTCTGGAAGAGAACAATAGGACCAGGTATCAAACAATGGACCTGGCACATGCTGAAGACTTTACCTGTGGAACGCATAACATATCTTTAAAAAGGGAAAAGCAAATTATTTGAAAGCATTTGGAGACCCTTCCTGAATTTTGTTGAAGGTGTGGATTTGTCTCAAGACGAAGAAGCCAGCTAAAGACAAGATTAATGTCAGACCATAATGTTAAACAAGGGAGCCTCAACAGTGGACTATTATCTCCTGTATACTTAAAGGAATTTATGCAGATGTGTATATAAGAGGGCGTTTGTTGGTCTTGTTGACTGTATTGGTTATATGGCAGATATATCTGTAAAAAAATACAATAAAAATATTGATGAAAAAAAAAGAGATGTATGGTAACTTTTTTAAGCTGATACCGACAACCAGTAGTTTTGGAAAGAAATTATTAGACCAACATTTGCCAGCGATACTTGATGTAAAAAAAGAAAGTGAAAGAAGAAATGCATGCTCAAAATAGAAAAGTTTCTGACACAAATTAAAGTCAAAGTAGATTTATGTTATTAATGCATAATTGTCTTTATGGTTCCGTACAATGCAAATATCCACGGTAAAGCTTAGCCAAGTCAGCATAGCATACACCCTGCTGGAAATTATAAAGAGGATGACGAAGCAGAAGCTCGTCGATCAAAGTGTGAATGCATTTGATCATCACATTATACTAGAGGACGCATCAGAAAAATGGCGACGGCTCAGCATGATAAAACGTGGCTACAAGTGGCTGAGAAAAGCTTAGGCCTGGTGGCCCACCAGCAAAATGTGTGCCACCACATTTTGCTGGTGGGCCACATTTTCCATGTCTCATCCTACATGAAGGTGTAGGATGAGGGCTGTTGTAAACATTTATTTTAGTTATCGAGTAATCTGTTTATTATTCTGATGGTTAATTAAGTAATTCAATAAGAAAATTAAGAAAACAAAAATATTGGTAAATTCTGCTAGCCTGGCCATTGCCTTCCTGTGCAGTTCCACTCGAAAAAAGCTTTCACATCCAACACAGACTCCTCTTGACTTGGATTCTCTCCGGTCGATTTTTGACCAGGTCAGTCAGTATCAACAGAAGGAGAAGTTTACGTTTATGAGCTGTGTTACATGTTGCTTTCTGAAATTTAGGTGTTGGAAAAGAATTTCAGCAAGTGAAAAGATATTGCCATGTTTAAATTCTGTTTTCCCCCTGCAGGGACAGGAGTGTGTGTCCTGATCGTCACAGAATCAACCCTAGGTCAGACCAGTCTGCTCTTCCTGCATCTGGAGTCATAGAAGTGAGAGAATTTTTTATGTATTTATTTATTTTTTTAAGCCTTTTTAGCACTAAGCAACTCTTGTTGTACATAAAAGCATTAAATGGATCATTTTCAAAATATTTGGTAAGATCAGTTTTGTAAAATGTTCTTCCGGTGTACTTCTAGGTCTTACCGCTCTACATTAAGACAGCATCTGTCTTCTATGGTCGTTTGGTCAGACAGAATGACAAGGAGTTTGATAAAATGGCCTCTGAGATGATGTCTTATTATGCTGACAAGAAACCTGGAGCCAAGGAGCTGCTGGAAGGAGCTTTATATGCAGTTGAAGAGGACGAGATCTTCCACAGGTTTGTGATAGTGGCAGCCATGCATTTTTCATAAGTGTTCTTATTCATGAAATGCATTAACATTGTTTATTATCAAGATTGTTTCAGGATCGTTACAAGGACTGCACTTAATTACGTTGTTCTCACTTTGTCCAGCTTGATATTTATTAGACTGTTCAACACACAAAAATCTTGATCGACTTAAATTTTTCATGTCAGTGAACATCAGAGTTGCACACACCCTTTGTTTTCATTCATTATATAAGTGTCTCCAAAGTTGGAGTTACGTAACAAAACTAATATTTCCAAGAAGATGAGGAACTGGTGAGTTTGTCAGGTTAGTTTGAATTTCGGTAAGACCTTGTATAAAAGTATAAAGTAATTTATGAAGGAGGTACAGCAAACTCAAGAGACCCCAAAGGCTATCGGTATAGGAGTCGCCTGGAGACCTCAGCGCGGCTGACCCAAGCTCGACTCCAATCCTCAGTTCCTTTGCCGCATTTCTCCCTCCACCCCGCTGTTTGTCCCTTTTCAGTTGCATTCCTTTCAAATAAGGGCTACAAAAAAATCTGAATAATGTGCGGCAATGGGACTGTTAATGTGCACAGTTGTGGTCAACATCATGACTCCTATATGTGCAGCTATCCAAGACGAGCAGACCGATCATCAGTACCAGACAATGTGTAGGGGAAAAAAGTGTCAGACTCGACTTTGTGCAACTTTTTGGTCCACAGTGATAGAAGATCTTAGCTGCTGCTGAAGAGGTTTGGGATAATGTTTGTTTTTTGTTCTTTTCATTCTGCATAATAGACTTCTGTCTAAGCTGTATTTTGCTACGATTTGCTGTGAGTAAATCCTGTATAAATTGCTGTGAAACATTTTGCTGGTGGGCCACCAGGCCTAAGCAATGTTCATTTATTTATTATAGTTTTTTATTCACCAGTACCAGTGATGGCAAAGACGGGTTAAATAATCTCTTTGGTGAAACAATTGGAAACACAATTCCAACATAGTGTGGTCAGTATGTGAACACATAGGGAGGACTGAGGTCAGGGTTCTTTTTATTCAGTGGAATTCTGTAACCACTGTCTGACTTAATCGGTCTGCCAACAACTTCAGTCAATGAAGTGATAAGTCACAGAAAAAAGATAAAAATGAAACACCAGAAGTGCAAAAAATTAATATTTATTTTAATTGTACTTTTTCCATTACATTTCCCTTTTGTTTTTAGACTTTATAGTTGATTTTTAGGTATAGTTAAAATGTATTGCAATAACACATAAATAGCTAGTGATATTTTCAAATTTCCTTTAAACTTTTAACTATTTTTTTTACTCAAAGTCGGGTTGCTGGATTTTTGCCATAGCGCCCCTGCCACCGAGTTTTCTGGGGGAAAACCCTGATATATTTGTGAAGTTTATGTAATGTTACTGTGTGTTTCCTGGCAGAGTGAAGATCCTGGCGCTACCTGACCATGGTGAAAGCATCTTTTACAATGTCTTGGTTCGGTTCATTGATATTGGAAAGGAGAGTGATGTCAAATCTCATCAGATCCTTGAGCTGCCTTCACAGTTTCTTTCTCTGCCTAACCAAGCCATTGAGATGGTGGTCTGCAGGGTGAAGCCAGCTGATGCTGAGATTGAGTGGCATCCAAAGGTCTTTCCACTTCCTCACATTGCATTAATGCATAATCACATCACTTGGATAATCATTACTAATGATTATTACTTCTTTTCTATTTTTTTTATTTTTAGTATTTTTTTTTTCTCTGCATTTATTCAATAGACTGGGGTATCTTGATATGTGAAGATGGGTGGAAATAGCAAAAAAGTTGGTGTCCTTTAGGACAGTTTACAGCAGTTTACCAGAACCTTGATAGTGAGGCCTATGTGTCTTAAATTTCTTCATCCATGCCTACCAATAAGTGTCTTTCAGGAATTCCCCACAGACGTTTGCAAACAGCTCTGATTTTTAAAGTTTTTTTTTTTTTAATGGTACTGACTTTGCATATCAACAGGAACTCATTCAAAGGATGGCTCCAAATGCACAGCAGGCAGAAAAAAAAACACAAGCCAGGTCAAAGGAGCAGGAGAAGAAAAACAATAAGGATACAATTACAAGGCTGTAGTGAAGAAAGTTAATATATAATATTATTTATTGTATTTTTAAGTACACTAAGCAAACATCTTGTAGTTCAAAACAGTAATTTTTTACATACCAAATGTAAAGTTGCATTTTTATTAGTTAACAAAGGTGTTTATTCTGATAGTTATAAAAAGTGCGGTTAAGCTATGATTAAAGAAAAAAAAAAAAAACCTCATGAATTTAAGTAAACAATAGTTCCCTGCGTCTGAAATAATTAACTTAAGTGTGCAGTTTGTTCATAAATGAAACCTCTCAGCATGACATTTGTGGTCTTGGCATCATCCTACGAACCTAAAATAAAGATCCACTTTGGGTGGTAGAACTCATTTACTAACTCAGTTCGTTTTTTTTTATAAACAATTGATAGTGATAATGACACAACAATCTTGTGATTAACCTGACTAAAAAATTGAATTGTTTCGATGCCCTATTAATTGTGTTGACAACATTCCCAAACAATTCATTTTGGGAGTTTCAATTATTGGTGACATTGTGGAAATGTTTCTAAAGAAAGTTCATGCAAGGTTCAAGAAACATGACTCTTTTTCCTGGCGGCAGGTCACAAGAGCTATCAGCCAGAAGATCCGAGGTCTGCAGCATCGAGCCAGAGCTGTTCTGTGCCTGGGGAATACAGTTTTTGTTGATCCTATGGTGAATTTCTTTTTTTTTTAAACTTTATTTTATTTATTTTCAGAACTTAATGTAAACAAGAATGCGAAAGCAAACACAAAAGATCCCCATCTCAAATCAACACGGAGCACTGTAGTGTCTGCATGAAAAAATACACAAAATACAGACATTCCCTGATGTGATTTAAAGTAGAATGTCACCAAGCTGTCAAAGGGCAGCAAAGTAAATAACACATTGAAGGTAAAAAAAAAAAAAAAAGTCCTCAACTCCAGGTGATATAGCTTATCTAAGAAAGCTTGCAATGGTTTACAGATTCTCCAAAATTTGTCAGACTTTCGATGAAGATCAGGAGTCAGTTTTTCAATCTGGATAATGGCAGAGATTTGTGATATCCACGTCAGCTCTACAGGCCCGGTGTGCTGACCATCTAGTATATGTTTCTTGGCCAGAAATACGAGGATTACAAGCAAAGAGCTGCATTAAATAGAATGTCTGGAGCATGATTAAAAAGAAGGATGAGATCAGCAGGAACTGTTTACCTATGTCAATTTCTTTTTTTAACCTTGTCATTCAATAAGATTTATAGCTATTTAACAAAAATTGCTGTGCTGAGGGAGCCCTATGGTTAAAGCTCAGGATGAAGTAGTATACAACTATTGTATGTGATTAAGTTATATATAAGAATTTCACTTCTCTTTTTTTTCCAATCTGTCTTTCATTAGGTACGAGTTACTCAGATGCCAGGCACAAAAACATGTATAAATGAGTACAATGTGCAGACTGAGATCCTAAAGACAGGGATGGGAGTCAATAATCCCAAGCATCTGGACTTCTTCAGAGCAGCTTTTCAAGATGGCAGCAAAGATGGAGGTCACATATCAAGGTTAGAAAATAAAAGCTACATTCTGAAAGTAAGCTGGTGGGCACAAGTGCATATTTACCAGCTACTTTCCTGATGAGATTAAGTACAACATTTTTACTGTAATTAAATTACAGAATTGGAGTTTGCTGCTTGGAGAAATGCTGTCTGTTTTCTAAAGCATTTCTTGACTCAGTTGATGGTTATTGCTGTGTTGTAAAAGTTTAGTTTTGTAATGTAGTTTCATCATTCCACTCTTTTGATTAATCTTAATCACAAAACCCCAAAAGAAATGTACTTATGATATAGCAATTAAAAACAAATGATAGAGTAATGCAAATGTCAATAAATGAAAACAAATCTTAGAAATGCAAACTTAAAACAAAACAATAAGATTAAAATGCATAATAAAAACAATACCTCATGAATTTAAGTAAACAATAGTTCCCTTATATTCTAAACAAAAAAACTGAAAAAATTTCAGTGTAGATCCTCGTATATTTTGATGTCTATTCTCTTCATTTCACTAAATGAAGACAATAGACATTGTCATTTAATGAAGATGTCTTTAGAAGATATGCTGTTATCCTCTAAATAACAGCATAATAAACAAAGAATAATAATGGATTTACTGTGTAGGATAATAACGTTAGGACCCTCCGGCCCCAGGGCTGACCTCTGGACTTCAGGGTCCTTGCTCCTCCCACCAACGGACACCAGTCTCTCGTCTCCTCTTCGGTTGTGCTTGTGCCTAAACTGTATTGACTGAGTAACAAGATAAAACTGCATTTCATGTAATCTGGGGATTTTTTTTCTTATTTCCGTATTAAATTGGATTTTAAAATGTGTTAGAATGATGATAAAATGTGTGTGCCACTGTAGACCCAACGACTAGAGGCTAACTGCTCAAGTAAACATTAATTATGTGACGATTTGGAAAGACTTGGGGAATTCAACAGAGATAGACATTTAAGGTATCACCGGTTGTGATGCCTGGAAGTAGCCTGATTATATGACAGGTTAATCAGATGCTCGTTACGTTTCATAACGTAATAAGCAATGCCAGAGATTTGTGATATCCACATGTCAGCTGTACAGACCCGGTGAGCTGACGGGCCGGTGTTCGGAGAGAACACGTGTTCAGAAATCATATTGATCATTTGATTTCTCCATCATTTTTTCACTGACTCAGCTCTTAGGACATACAGGTGTGTGGGTGAGAGAAGCTCTGTGTAACATCGGTAATGCCCCATGTTGGTCATTTTTTAACATATTGGTTTCAGTCAGATAAGTAAAATTGGGCCAATATGACCAACTGATACTGATTTTCATCTTGTTTGTGTTTCTAGAAAAGGAGAGCAGTGATCATGTGATAGTTGTTTGTTCAAACTAATATGTATTTATATATTGTTGAATTAACTGGTGTTTTAAACAGAAACTGTGATTTATGTCTACAGCGACGAAGACAGAAGAGGAATTTACGAAAGTAATCCTGCTGCCTCTTTGAGCCTTCATGAAAACGGTAAAATGGAGTTCCAATTCCACATCAACTTTTCATATATGCTGTGTTGAAAGAATCACAACCTTTAAAGGTGTAAAGGTGTAAAGACGTAACTATGCATTGGTCTGTGCGCCAAAGCACTTTGATTCTTATGAAAAAGAAAATGGAGTCAAATCAGCAGATTAACTCCAAACAGGTCAGTCTGGACAAGATGTGTAAATAATCACACTTGCATAAGCAGCTGCACAAAGGTGGGTTATGTAATTGTGGAATGCTTTAATTGGCACTGATGGAGCACATCCCCAATAGAAGGATTCAGAGGGAAAATGTGTTCAGAAATCATATTGATCTGCTGGGAAATGTTGATGATGGTTTATTAGCGTTTAGATTTCCCACAGTGATCATCCTGGGGCTCAGCACAGACCTTGTCCCAGCCTTACAGAATGAGCTGAGCTTTAATGGTGCAACTGGAGCTGCTGTCGGGTCCAAAGAATCATCCCTCAGTCAAGTCATGCCAGCTTTCTGAATGCGTCTTTGAATAAAAAAGCTTTCTATTCTTTAAATATGCAACTTGTATGCACAAACGTGCCTAATAAATATAGAGGCACATTGGCCTGGTTCAATACACGATTCAGCCATTTGGAATTAACTTCCACATTTCCCACTCACATTAAAGGACTCTCTGACACACTGCTTGCCTTTAACCTCTGCTCTGCTGTTCCAATAAGTATTACCACTTGGATTAATCAAGTGGTAATATTTATTTTCTTCTTTCTTCTATTTGAAATTTTTTTCCCCTGTAAAATGTATTTTAGTTTTTTATGAAGTGACCTTATGTGTCCTGAAATACGCCTTTTATATCAAATAAATATATATATATATATATATATAATATCATTAGAACAACTTTAACTACTACAACCAAGAACCGTTGCTATGGTTATTGGGTCACGGAGTGGCAGCCTTCCGGGTATTTATGCTAATTTACATATGTATTTATGGGAGGTGACTGGGTGGACCAGCCGCTCAGCTCCATTTCCCACATATTGGGATATATAAAGAAAAGTTGCACAGCCACATACGTGCGCATAATTTTATACATCAAACTTTTTTGTGTGTTCATATTTGGCCCTTCACTAACTTTTAGTGTGAAAACTGCACATTCTTTTGTACATGAGGCTCTGGTCATTTCTTTCCATTTACAGTAAACAATAGACATCCCACTGTTACTAACTCTGCGTCTTTCTTATTATATTTAGCAACATTTCAGATAAAAAATATTGGTATTGGCCAAAATCAGAATCAGCAGGTCAGGCTTTTTAAAGATCGGTAATCAGTGATTGGCCAGAAAACTGCAATCCGTGCAGCCCTAAATAAAACCATAAATATATTTATCAGTTCAACCTGGTGGTTAGTTTTCCTGGGATAATCAGTTTTTGTGTTTTTACAGGCGAGCCTGATGGTGACGAGCAGGTTGTGTCCAGTGATGAAACAGTCTGCAATGACCTGTCAAAGAGGTGCAAAATAATTTTTTCTGTTAGATCAGTGTTTCTCAAACCTGGTCCTCACCGCCCCCTGTCCTGCATGTTTTAGGTATTTCCCTTCTGCCACACACCTGAATTGTATCTCTGGGTGATTAACAGGCTTCTGCAGTACTTGATGGTCATGCAGTAATTTGAATCAGCTGTTCTGGAATAGAGGCACATCTAAAACATGCAGAGCAGGGGGGGCGGTGAGGGACTAGGGTTGAGAAACACTGTGTTAGATGATCTTAACAGCATTATGGAGTGGTTTTGAATTAGCATGACCTACTTTTAATACTAGAAAAGTAGATTTATGTAAATGTCATGATTAACTTTAAGTGATCTCATTTTGTGGGAACTTAGAAGTTGTTCTAGTGCTATTTTATTAAATATAACAATGTCTTTTATGAAGGAAAAGTGACAAGTAACATTGCTGATTTGAAAATGAGTTTTGAAAACTTATAGGGTTAATTTAAAGTGAAATTGCATTTTGAAGCTTTCTTGTGTTCTTTCTGGTTGCATTTCAGTTTATATCCTCAGGTTGTTTGGTACCAAACCTGTGACTCTGTAATTGTAACAGTGAAGTTGATGAACCCAGAGAGTCAACGCTGCAATTTCTACACAGACAGAGTTGTCTACAGGTCAGTCATGATCACAACAGTAAGAGCTCACTTATTGTCATTCTGCTTAATATTCAGTTTAACCTTTTTTTCCACAGTACTAGTAGTGGGTACATTTTAAGCACAGCCTGCCAGTGTAGTTTGAACACACACAAACATAAGTGTGGTGTGGTTATGTTTTCCCTCTAATATAAATTTGTAACAGATCTACCTTTCATTGTTGGGACAATGTGTTTCTTCAATTATACTGTGTGCTGTCTCCTGTTTGACTCTTTGGCCAGTGTTTGTCTGCAAATGTCTGATTGTTTATTCACCTTTTACTGGTCGATGCACTGTCATGTTTACACCACACTGTGGCCACATTCAGCCTTTTCAGTGTTTGAGGATCAACTCAGATTGGCCATTTTGGTTGTTACTGATTTTAATCGTTTAATGCACTTAAAGTCACCTCAGTTTGTCTCCGGTAAACTGTTGGGTTGCCCAGGTCTGCTTGGACTGTTAAGTAATTTTCATCTTTTACCAGATGGATTTTCTTCACTCATTCTGCTCTTACAGGCTTTTGTCTGATATGAAAGTTGTGTCGTAACCTTGTGATGCATTTGCTCATTTTGTAAACTTGTAAGTGACACTAAGGTTGCTGCTCCACTAGAGCGGTTGTAACCAGTTGAGCTCAAGTCCGCCCCAACCCGATCCATCTCAATTAGCAGATGCTAGACCTGCTAATTCATTACTTGAATGCTATGAAATGTTTCGTTTGAGATCCTCATAAGATGTTTTGCCCTTAATCATGTAGGTTTCATTTTATTCCATTTATCTTAAGTTTAGATGTTTAATTTCAGCTCATAGAAGATCTTTAAACAACACCTCAGTAATTCTGCTTCAGTCGAATAATTCATTGTCTAGATTAACTAATCAGGTCAATATTACCTTAATTTGGCAGTGATTAAAAATAAAAGTGAACTATAACACTACAGTATTAAAAGCGATTCCATCAAAAATTTGGGTGCACTTAAGTTTTGTGCTTTTGCACCTAAGAAAAAAAGTTAGGTGCAATAGTTTAACCAGTAGAAAAAGTGAGTCTAAAGGCCTGGTGAACTTCACAGCGTAACTTCTTTCATGATGGAGCTGGTGCATCAATTGCCTCCCGGCCAAACATTAGGGATGCACCGATCCTCTTTTTTCACTTATGATACCAATACAGATATCTATAGATTGTGGTGATCACACTTTATTTATTTTTTTTAATCATGCCTGTTTTATCTACTATCAGCAACAAAGTTATTGGTGGAATGAAAATAATTCAGAATCTAAATCTGCTAGGCATTTGAATAAAAGTGGATTCAACTGTATCTGTGGATATGCAGAGGGTCCAAATCAAAACTTGAATAGGATTCTGTAGAACATTGTGGCAGCTCAAGTTCTGATCACTTCTAAAGGATTCCCCTTTCAGAGGTTGCCATAGTGTGATACTACAAACTCTGCCTCTATTGAAGCTGCTGGTTTTAGACAGAAACGCTCTGCTTGTGTTTTTCATTTAAATAAAACTGTAAAAGGCTTTCTCCTGTGTTCAGTGGGAGAGTGAACAGTCGTTCCTACAGGGCTGATCTGGAGCTTCACCAGAAAATAGATGCCGACATTTGCCACTGGGAAATGAAGTCCAATCAGCCTGTTCTTAAACTGGTAAAACAGCAGCAAGGACACTGGGAGAGACTCATCAGGAGTAAGGTACTGAAATCATGCTCACTCTGTCAAGATTATTTAAGCAGTAAGGTAGTTCAGTGTGCTACATGGTGGAAACGTAACACAGTTAACAAACAAAACTGAAAAAAAAAAATTCATTGCATTGGCAGAATAAACGGCCATAATCAACGGTTGAAATCCAGACCAGAATTAATTTGTCCAGTGAGAAACGTTGGTGTTAAGAGAAAATGGTGACTTTAAAAAGTGGTTTCATTCCACAGAATATTTTTGTGAGTTACGACATGGACCATGTTGACGACGAGGAAGACAAATCATCAAGTTGTAAGACAAAATCTGCCAAAACTTTTTGAAAAATGAACAAAGTAAAATATTGGAGCTCATGCAGATGCTCATTTTCTTTTCTTTTTTTAGGTCGGTTGTTTGTGGAGAATATAGGAGAGGATAGCTGCTATCTGAAGTCAGAGAGCGGCAGCGATAGTGACTGAACCCAAAATGTTCTTGTTTACATCTTCACCTCTTCCCTTTGAGATATATTTCAGATTCCTTTTGCAGTTGTTTTATTGTTCTCGTATGTGGAGTTTAGTTGGTTGCCCTTCAGAGGCCAACATTCGGAGTCTGAAATCTAGTTGTTTGGAAATTGTCATCTTTTTTTCTCTATTGTTTCAGTCGCAGACGAGCAAATACATTCATTTTCATTCATGTACTTTGAATTTAGGTCTGGGTACATAGGTCAATACACATGGCTGTTTCCTTCTTATAAAAACAATTCATAATCACATTTAATGGCAGCTTGTGATGCCATGGGCAATTGAGAAACCAAATTGAATTGTTCCCCAATCTTTTGTTCAAATTTCTTGGAAATGTGATAAAAAGTTTCATTACCTTTGAGCTGTTTCAAGTTGGGATCCAGACAGGCTCTGTGCATTTTGGTATGTATTGTGTATGGAGGCAGAATCCTGAAAAAGTTAATGAATATGGAAATAAATTAATGGTTTGATAAAGTAATGAATGTGTCAAAAAATAAGAACTTTGCCAATTTCTTTGATTATGAAATGTAGCATTAATTAATTTATAATTTCCAGCAATATTAATTTAACATCACTATCATATATCCTGTCTGCAGTCCTAAGAGGGGTTGAGTAGACCCCCTGTTCGTGGTCCCGCTGGTGTCACGCTGATCACTGAGGTTTTCTTCCTCCATGGTTTTGGAAACTGACAGGACTCCCCTATCACTTTCCCGCTGTCCGACTGCGACATCTGCTGCTCTCTGAGTGTGAAGCTGGGACTGTGGGAGACGCATTATCAAAAACTAAGTAAATAATTAAATGAAAATAAAATAAAACGATAAGATAACTAAAATGGAAATTAAATGTAAGCAATTTCTCCTTAGAGATCAGTTGTCAGTTCTATTCAAAATAGTGTTATGGTAAATTCTGTTAAAAATTATCAATAAATATAGACGTTGCATAATTAAATTGTAAAAAAAAAAAATTGCATGCTATATTTGACACATGAATTACTTTATTGAGCCACTTATTAATTTCTATGTTTATTCACAATTCTTTTAGGATCCTTTTCTAAACATATAAGGGACAGCATGAAATTGGGAATTAAAATTAACCCACTGGTGCCAGCTTGAGATTTGCCACAATTAGTGCAGTTCTTAGCAAAATATGTAGCATTATTGTTCCGGCACTTCTGTTGATGTAATTAATACCCATTTACAACAAATGCCACCTCAAGGTACTATACAAAACAAATGACTTCTAATCATATCCAGCTGCATAGAATCTAATTTGGTTCAAATTCACTTTAAAATAATCCATCCGGTTAAGAACCATGTTCATAGTCAGTGTAATTGAACAAATTAAATTAATACAGTGCCCGTTGGTAATTGTCTACTGTAAGGAAGCCCAACCCAGTACAAGAAGTAACTGAATTTGCAGCAAACCTTCTGTTTTACTTTCTAGAAAACAGAAACGGACAAGAAAATAGTTTACTGATGTCTTCAGACTATTTGCTGGGTGTTTGTGTCATTGCCTCAGGTTTGTAAGTATGAAGTGTAACCTTCACAAGTTATGATTTGTGATAACTAGTGATGTCACTTTTTCATGACGAGGCATGTATGTAAGTACATGTTGTTGTTGTTTGCCTTTTCTGTTCACAACCATGGGAGAGCTCTTAGAGGGACAACAGTCTGTTTTGTTTGCAGCTTTACCAAGTAAAACTGAGGCATTATAAAGCTTTATTTAAATCTACAAGTAAGACGAGCATACTTCAGCTGCCTCGTGGCAACTGGTGTGTTACTGTTACCTTGTTGTTGCGGTGCTGCATTATAGTTGCATTAAAATTTACACCGTTCTTCAAATTTATATTTAAAATCATCTTTTTAGTTTGACCAACATGCTTGTTATGACTGGGAGTAATGGTAACAATTTGAAGTGGCCCATCCACAGGCCCAGAGCTTAGGGAGTTTAGTATTAGGGGAATGTAAAAAGGACTTCCAAACCACAAGGACTTGAAGGAGAGTGTCCAAAACAGTAATGAAGACGGCAAACAGTGCTTGAGGAGTTACAGGACAGATTTGTTTGCTGCAATTCCTTTTCCATTGTTGTTGGTGAATAATTCTTGGCATGTACATTTTTGTTTTTGGATAAAAATAAAAAGCATATCTTGTATGGTCCTAGTTTGTGGAAGATACCTGACATTTTCCAATCAGAAAAAAATTGTTGGTTAAAGCTGCTGTAGGTAACTCTAAAAAATTTTTTTTTTTTTTTTTAATTGTCACTGTTTCCTGACAGAATGGTACGAGACAGATAATCTGTGAACAGAATCAATCTTCTCCACCTCCTCCCAATGCTACTCTTGCAATCTGCAGAAATGTGCCGCTCCTGGCCAAAAACAGCCAATCAGATTCAGGAGGAAGGTCATAGCACTATAAATTACACTTGTGTATGCACTGCTCAATGTGCTAATGGTGGAGAAACAACTTACTGTTCCAGGAAAACTGTTTACCTGCTGTCACTGGTGACCGTGCTAACTAGCTGAGCATTTGTGACAGGCTGTGTTATCAGGAAGAAGCTGTAGTGTAGCAGAGAGAAAGGGGAGTAAGCAGTGTGTACACAAGCATGATTGACAGCATTGTATTTCTGCTAAGAGTGCACCGATTTCAGTTTTCTGGCCGATTGCCGATTACTGTTCCTTAAAAAACCTGAGCTGCTGATTCCGATTTTGGAAGCTATTACTGAGTTGGAAACAGTGGGATGACTATTGATTACTGCAAACATGCAAACGTGACCACGGCAGAGCAACAGAAGACAGTGGTTGATTTTTAGACATTTGCCGAGGTCAATAAGATGAGTGGATGAATTTGGCTTCACATGTAGATATCAGCTAATCACCGGTCTCCCAAAATTGGGAAGAGGAAATTGGGGCCGATTTATCGGTGCATCTCTTAACTTCTGCAGCTAGCACTGGGAAAAGGCAGAGGAGCTTAATAGACATACAGTTTTAGCAAATGTATAAAAATATATTTCCTGTAACGGCTACATACGGGAGCCTTAAGGGAAAATTTTAAATGTATATCTGCCAGGGATATAAATAATTGTGGACATAAGTGCCTGTGTACCAGGAGTTTAGGTTAAAGCTGTAACTTTTGTTTAAAAAATGTTTTTTGCATATTTGTTAAAACTGTCACTATGTCCTGTGAGTAGAATATGTACGGCTTTATGGATCAATCCTTAAAATTAAGTCGTATTGACTTATTTTGTTAATATTCTGTATCTCTTTAACTCTGAGGAGAAATGTATCAGTTAATAGACTTAATGTGCTTTTTCTTTTTGAACATTTGTTTGAATACTGCAGTTTTACATTGTTAGATGCTGTTTGAATTATTAGTAAATGCACTTTCTGTTCTATATATCATAACAATAAATTGATCTGCTCCTGCACCTGTTTTCTATACAGATGGTTATTACAAAAGAGTATCTAGTCCCAACACCAGAATATATTTAGATTTGCAAAGGGTCAACAGTGGAAAATTTTCCGTGTGGTCACCAAAACGCACAGAAAACACAGCAAAAATCACAAGTGTGCTTTAGATAAATTTACAAAATGTCAGCATTTCAGATGGCTGGGAAGCAAATACATCATCATTAAATGTTAACTACTAGGTTTAACATTTAGGAAAATTGAAAAGACTAAAATCAAAAAGATTCATGTGCTGCATGGCTTTATGGTTTTCCTTTTTGTTACATAACTCGGTATGGTTATTCTTTTCAAAGCTTGTAAATAGACGTTACTAGAATGAAGACCTAAACACCTCAAAAGGAATGGACATACAGTGTACTGACTAGATGTTTTAGTGAAACTTTGATTCATTTTAAAATGGAGATGTCAAAAGACCTCAGTATGTTCTTGTTGACATGAAGTCTGTCAATGAACCTTGCTTGATAAAGTGTAAGAGACCTATATAGGAAGTTGTTTTTTTTTTTTAGGGTTGAACTCATGTATGTTTGGGACTTTTGTTGTGAAGTTAAAAAGGAGAACTTCCTGCTTTGATGTGTTTTAACACATTCTGCTCACATTGCACATAAATCTGGCTGACAGCCCTTGTTACAGCAGCATGGATGAAGCCCCTCTTTTAGGCACTAGCCCCGCTGCAGAATTAGACAAACCTAGTTAGAGTGGAACCTATCTGCGGATTTTCTGTGGAACGTACAGTAACTCCAAATTATCAGCAGAACATTGAGTCAAGGTTTTCACTGTACATATGTACATATTTATGCTTCTTAAGTAGAAGTGTGCCGATCGATCGGCCACCGATCATAATCGGCCGATTTCCGTGAAAAAGTGTATGATCGGTGATCGCCGATCACGGCCTCTTGTTGCCGATCACACAAACCGATCTCCTGGATTTCATTTCGCAGCCTTCCTGTGCAGCTGGTCTCCTCTCCTTCACACTGTGCAAACGCGCAGCAACAAATCCTAAGCGATGTGGAACTATAACGCACTGAGTGAATGGGGAAATTTGCATGTTGCGGCGGAAAATTACCTCGGGGTGAAGCACGTCAAAATGCATCCCACTACGAATCTAATATGGCTTAAAAACAATGCCATGCCATACTTGACGGAGTTTGGCTACATCGAGGCTCACTGCAGTAAAAAAAAAGACATGGAGCGATCAGACAGCAGGTAAAGCAGCGCACAGCTACAAACACTCACCCGGATTAGCATGACGGTCAGAAAGCTAAACAAATAACCCGCAAAATTATTTAAGTCTTCGAGCTGCGATGTAAGACGCTGGTTCTGCTCTCGCTGTTGAACCGTTGCTATGCTACAGGTAGTAATATTTCACAGACGGAGCGCCGCTTCTGCTCCACCTGGCAGTGACTCACACCGAACCTGCTTAAAGCTGCAGCATCTAACTTAAAAAAAATACATTTTACATACGTATTAAAACTTTCGCTGTCCTAACATGATACAGATAATCTCTAAAAAAAATAATCGATCTCCGCCCTGTTCTGCATAATTACTCCGCTCAGTCAGAAACAGCCAATTAGAGCTAACAGTAATCAGGTAGCCGCCATGCTATCAGGAAGTTTTCATTCAGTAACTCAGGATGTTTATTGTAATGGAACCTGTATTTGCCTTTGAATGTTAAGTTTTATACTTGAATGTTTTGGCAATATTGAGGTTTTATTTGGACTTTTTGCATTATTTAGCCTCTTCAGAGCCTTTATATGTTTTCAGTCTGTTAAAGATAGTATTACCAATAGCAGTACATTTTGCACAATGCCTGTTTTCTTTTTTTTCTTGGAAAAAGTTATTAAAAACAAGTTTGTCTAAATTAAGGTGAATTCATGGTTCCTTTTTCCACATAATGTAATCGGTAGTGCTTATGATTAAAAAAATTATGTGATCGGTATCGGTGATCGGCTGTGATCGGCCTTCATGGGTGATCGGAATCGGCAGGAAAAAACCTGATCGGCACATCTCTAATCTTAAGGAATGTGTGGGTTAAGACTACTAAAATTGGCAGCTATACATGTTTTCTGAAGTGGTTTCAGGTATTCACAGATTTCAGCTGATCATGTGGTCCCTAACGTGTGAATGTGAAGAGTCCACTGTCTTCAAAACTGAACTGAGTCATGGCTTGATTACAAATTTTGAAAAAAACAAAACCTATATGATTTGTGAAACCGTAATTCTATTCATGTGAGCAGAAAAGTGGGGATTTCCAATTTTCTCCAAATTTAGCTAATTTCCTGCCTCATTACAAACCCCACAATCATGTCTCATCTCGTCTCATGAGAGGAATGTATTGTAAAAAAATATAGAAAGATACTTTGTCAAATTTTAATAGTTTGATGGATTAAAATGCCATGCCCAAATCAAAATCGATGTTATTGCACACAAACATCTGTTAAATTGCCGTCATAAAA